GAAGATTTAATAAGCTGTACTAAAAGCTGAAAATAACTCAGGGAGATGATAAAATGTGCAGCATGGGGGTGGGGGAGTCAAGCTTAAAGAAAAGAGCAGTGGTGCCCACAGAAATGACCACAGTCCACTTTTATTTTAACTACTTACAGGAAGGTGATGAGTCACCTCTCCCAGAGCTCTTTGATTTATTAGTGAGGTGAGTTTCCTGCTGTGGAAATTAGAGCCAGCAAAACTGCCAAAGGGGGAGGAAGAGTGTGCTCGGACATCTTTGTAAGCTCTGTGAGGAGGAGAAGGAGGAGGCAACCCACTTGGGCTGGGGAGAGGACCATGCCAGGGACACACAAGTCGGTGAGAAAGAGTTATGTTAGCCCCTGTAAGGTGCAAAATAAAATACTGAGAGAGTTTCAGATACAGAGTGGCCACAGACAAATGAAGCACTCTGAATTTAACTTCTGTTTTCTGAGTGCAGAAAATTTCACTCTTGAAACAACAGGTCACTGGGAGTTCAGATGTCCAATAAGTTACAGAGCTATGTTAATTTGTTCCACATTGAGCCTGAAGTCTACAATTAGGTGGAACAGGATTTTATAGTAACTTTTTATTAAAGTAAAAGCTCAGATTTTCAGGTACTGTGTGCACTTCCTGGACCTGACCAGCAGTCCTGCCAGAGAGCTTGGAAACCTTCGGGTACAAAGATGTTGAAATAGATAGGTAGATATTTTATGGTTTTATTTTTGGTGGCTTTGGTTGGATTTCTGTTGCTGGTTGTTTGTTTTGGTGGTTGTTTGGTTTTCTAATTTTTTTAATTAATATTTTTCCATTTGAAAATGTTCTCAGAAAGTTGTAACTGACTGTGAAACACAGGAAAAGGGTAAAACAATTCTAACAGAACTGCAGCCTAGCTCGGTCTGCATGCATATATCTGCCTATGTACTGTTTGCTGTTTTGGGGGAAAGGACAGGTCACTAAGAGGGGACAGACCTTCCTTAGTTGAAGTAGTTAAGGCTTTGAACTGAAGTATATGTAGATGTGTGAGTATCATTACAAATAGAGACCATACTGAGCATTAGCAGTACAACAGGATAAAGCTCTGTGTAAAATAGCCTTGAATAATTACGCAGCTTTAAATAAGATCGAATGTTCTCCGTGCTCACTCCATCCACATTGTCATGCATCCTTTCTAACTCTAGAAATTCAACTCTAGAAATTCTAGAATAAGGTGTTCACAGAAAGCCAACAGAAGACCAGCTTGTAAATGTTTTTTCAGGCCTAACTGGGGTTCAAACTGGCACCATGTGTTCAAATGCTTCAGTTACCGTGAAGCTGGGTCCCATTCTAAGCTTTGCAGATCAGGCTAGCCAAGTTATTCGCCAGGCATTATTCATTCTTACTGGCTTAGAGAAAACATTCGTCATCATGTTAATATTTGTTATGTAGGTTTATTTCATATTTGGTTTTGGAGTTTTGGGGGTTTATTTTCAATTTCCTCTGCTGCTTCAGTAACTCCTCAATTTCTTGCAGTCCTTAATTTGAAACTGTAAGTTTATTATTTCAGCTTCCAAAGATGATTATTTGGCATTGAGTAAACAACCTTAGCTATGCACTTGCTGACATTCCTCCATAATAACTCTCTGCCCCTATTTTATCGCTTATGGAATTGCTTTCTAATCCTTTTCATGGGTCTTTTTTTTTTTTTAAAAAGCTTTTTTTTTTATAATAACATTTGTTAGAAAATGAAAGTAAAACCAATTAAGTCTGCCTTATTGTACTTACAAAAGATTGATGTGTGTAAAGTCTAACAGCTTATTTGGGGATTTTAATCTAAAAGTGCCCTGCAATAACATTAGCTTGTGTTCTGGGAACTAGCTGTAATAGAGAAGCCACTGCCTGCAGAGATACTGAACTAAATTAAAGTATTGTGTGCTGGTATTCTAGCATCTGCCTTATACGTTAATCTCTGGAAAATGCTTGAAAATACCCTAAAGTAGCAGCCATTTCTTTGTTTAAGTTTGAAAGCTTTTTGTATCTATTCTCATTAATGCTGTAGTGCAGAAGATTCACTGTTCAGTAAATGAATTGAACAGAAGCTTCTACAAACCAAGAACAGATTGCAGTTTTCCCATTTCAGTCTCCATTTTATTTTTGTTGTTTAAATTTGAGCTCTAGGGACCTAGGCTTTACTATGCTTGCTTCAACATATGTGTTCCTGGCTAGAAAGAAGCAAAATTGTTGGACTCAAATACTGAAAAAATTGAAATAATTTGCTGTCTGAATGACTGAGGATTTCTTACTCTACCTTAGTTTTCTCTTGAGTTATATTTGCATATATGAGACTTCAAGTGTACAGTTTCTCTGAAAGGTGGGTTCTGAAAATGCTTCATCTTCATTGTCAAATCTCTCATTTTTCTTCTCCGTTACAAAATTTTCATTCATCCAGCCCTGGATCGGAAACAATACCATGTGATTTGCAATCATATATGACATAAATAGTTGAAGCTGTAAAAGCAGCATGTAGTAAACAAACAGACTGTAGGCAGTAATATATTTGAATACAGGATTTTTAGTCATGAATAATCCATGAGTTTATAAAAAACAGTCTGTTTATAGATAATTTAGGAATAGAAGAATGCTTTAATTCATGAAATAACTTATCTTCTCCAGCCTTAAAAAAACAATTCCATGAAATGCAAGGAAAAAAAAACCAGCTGTGACGTACAGATTTTCCCAACTTAGCCGTTGCTCTTTCAGAAAATAAAGTATGCATTAATTAGGACAAGGCCTGGAAATAGATTATGTATCTCCAAGTGCTCTCCCTTTAGCTGCTGATCGGTGGAGTGATGCCTATGCTGCAGGTGAACATCCTTGAACATCCTCCTGCAGATGCAACTCTGCTGGTTGAAAATGTTATTGCTTCCAGCTGCTTGTCCCTTTTCCCTGCCTGGACATTAGTCCCTTTTTAGAGCTGCTGGAGGAGCTCCTCATGCAGCCAATCCTCAATTCATCTTCAACGAAGGAATCAGATTGGTAAAAACATGTTATTTAAGTTGTTTAGGAAGTTATTATGTACATGAGCAGTTTCATTAGCAGGTCTGAAGGGACACAACTTGAATAAGAAAATGATGGGCGCTCATCACCTTGCTCTGTCTCTGGCCCAGTGAATAGGTTAAGTATTGTCATACCAAATAAATCAGTAAGAGGAGAAATGCTAGCATGTGCATCCTGGCACATAGTTTAGCCCTACTTAGAGGTTTTAGAGGTGTCCTTGGAGTGTCTGGGAAATTAGGATACCTTGTAGGAAGGCCTTCTATTATAGGAAAGAGACCAATATCTATTTGTCAATCTAGCCTGAAAGAGTGCAGGTGTTTCAGATATAATGATTATGGCATTTCTGAGCCTTTCTCTTCATTGCTTTTCTTCAGCCAAAGGTGTCTGTTGAATTTGAACGAAACTATATCCAAAGTATATAACTAATTTGAAAATGTTTTTTATAGCTAAAAAACTACTTTCCTTCTCCAAACGAAAAAGTCCATCAACTCCCTTCCCATCTGAGCTCTTTCCTGCTTCTGAAGCAAGTTCCTTTAACAGTTTACAACAAGCTCTGTATGCCTTTCACGTCAGGTCATGTACTTAAAAACAATGCTTACAAAGCAGGAGCTCTATTAGGATAAATTAATATCTTAAAGTGCTTGCAATAAGAAAAATCCTTTACTTGTTTTAAGTAGGAATAGTAAAATCTAGTTTTAAAATTATTACAGAGGAAACAATTTGAAATGGGAAATCAGAAGAGGAGTGTGAAGAGAAAATAATGAAGGGAGAGTGTGATAGTGTTTCAGACTGAAGTTCCTTATATGTATTTAATTAAGAGCCAATAAAATACGATTTAAATGTACATAAACTAGACATAGTAGAAACTTGTTAATTTGCACTCTAATAATTTGCAGATTTTATAATTCATGAAAAAAAAAAATAGAAGCTTCCTTCTGCCTCCCAGCAATGGTTTAAACCAGAGGCAGTAGTGAAGTAGCCTATTATTAACACTTAATTTCGTTGGCAAGTACACCGGAAAGCAGTATCTAATTCATGAGACTGTGTTATAAGGGATTAACTACAGGATCATAGATATTAATGCACCGTAAAGTGTACTTCATTTTATCTTTGCATTCCTACTCTTTCAGACAGCACTCGGTGTAATGCTCTATGATTTTCACTGATTTGTAGTGGGATGTAAATAAGCATTTGTGCCAGGTAGCAAAAGCAATGATTTGCTGTAACTCTTGGGTATTAAAATCGCAAATCACCACCGCCAACAGGCCAAAGGCCTGATCACTGAAGCTTTTGAAAGCGTGCCTGGAAATTCCTCAGGATTGTTTGAGCTTTCTCTTTCAGAGGTTTTAGTTGTCGTAGGTGGCAGGAGGTCAGCTCACTGTTGTAGCTCACTGTGCCTGCGGGACAGACTATCGACACATAGTTATGGGTGAAGGAGCAGAGGATGGTCTAGTTTTGGTTGATGTGAATTTTTCTAAAGTGAATCCTGACAGGTCAGCTCCTGCCTATTATTATTATTTTATTCATATAGGTCTGATATTACTGCCTACTCTGACTTGTGCAATACCTCCAGATTATACTGTTCAGTGATGCAGTTTTAGTTTCTTTTCTTTTTGGCTTGTTTGTGTAAGAGGGTATATTGAATTTGATGTTTCCCTGTGGTACTATAATTTATACTAAATTAATATTTACCTCTTTCAGCCACTTTTAACCTGTTATGTGCAATATCTTCAGCTTGCCTGGGTGTGAGTGTTAATACAAAATCTAAGAAATACATTTGGAACTTTGCTAGATTTTAATAATAAACTTCATACATTTAATCAATTTCGTAATTAGATTGAGATGTTAAATGTATTTTTATTTCTAAACTAATGTTTACTTAAATGAATTATGAATCAGTGTTCATTTTTTTATTGCCACCAGGGTATGTTAGGATCTGTTCCTTCGAAATCCAGTTGTGTGAACTGACCTTGATGAGCTGCCCTCGCTCCACACTGAATCAGTAAAAAACCCAAGAAAGTTGTAACGTGGCCATATCAGATGAAGGTGTTCCAGTTTGCTTTAATCCTGACTCCAGTAACCTGGAAACTGTCTACCCAGCTATATGCAAAAACTTGGAGGGATCGTCCATTGAGCCAAATTTCATCATCTGCCAGGTAATTACAGCCCTTGCTATCTTCAGCAGGGAATTACCCATGTAGGACCTTTTGTATTTGTTCTTCTCTTGTGGTGTGTTTGTTTAATCAAACTTACTTACTTGCAGCTTTCATTCTGCAGCTAGAAGGCCCATAGCAAGGTAGAGGAGCTGGCTTTTGCATTATGATTCAAATGAAGTTGAAATTAGGATGAAATTATGTTCAGTAATTGATGTTAAAATGTATGTTAGAATAAATGATCCTTTGATAAACTGACTCTGAGGATTGTTATGATGTTTCTTGTCTGCATCCTAAAACAGGATGAAACTGTAGTGCCTTGTGATTAATAGTTCTGTCTTGCGCTGTACCTTTCTGGCACAATGAACCAACCAGATCAGCTTTTAAGGAAAAACTTGTTTGGAAACAAACCAAATCCTCAAAACCTAAAACCTCATACAGAGTAAAACACACACAAAAGTGTCTTCTCCCAGACAATTAGAACAGCTGCCTTAACTGTTGAGGTAAATAGCAAGGATCAGAATAGCTTTCAAATGGCATAGGAAATTATTTTTCTACTTTATTTTAATCTGTTCTGTATTTTCATTGAAACAAAGGGTCTTTTGGAAACAGCACACTAAGCTATGCTTAGAAAACACTTGTGTTGCATCATAGTGGCAAAAACCAACCAAGCAGTCAGCATTTTCAGCCATGCCAGGTGTTTTGCAGGGTTTGATCAAGTCCAGATCGTCATGAAAGGATCTACATTTTAGCATTGGCCTTTTGAGGAAATGTAGTTTCAGTTCCATTACACCTGCAGAACTGAGACTCTAGCAAGAAATCAATAGGTCCTGGTGACTTAAATACTTATTTTTCAGGTGGTCTGTGTTTCTAAATTGTATCTCATATTATGCATTTACCAAGGCTTATTTAAGGAGAAGTGGATTTGCTTGTTTTGTAGGAGCATTTTACCCCTCACATAAAAGGAGTTCACTTCATCTTGTCAAGTTTTCTTCTGCTACTTCTGTTGAAAATGTTTTGTTTCTGTTTCTCTTCGTTATCCTGCTTTGCCTTTTCTTCCTAAGGCTTGCAAGGAAGTCTGCTTAGGCTGAAAGATGGCAGGAATCTGTTGGTAGTGGGGAGATGTCTCAAGAAAGGCTGTTAGGAATTTACTGTGGTATTTCTTGGCCAAAAGAAGATGAGCAATAAGACAAAAACATTATCCTGCCAAGAATATGCTCAAGGAGGTAATTAGTAATAGTCATAGAAGAAAAGAACAGGTAAGGAAACATGAAATTAAATGTAGCTAAGTATGCAAACCTGCTCTTGCTGTGGGTCACTATTGGTGATTTTTAAAGCAAATAGACTGGGCAGCACCAGCTTCATCTTATATTTAATTGCTGATCCTAATGGCAAATACTGTTGCCTTCATTTTCAAAATACTTTCTTGCAGGTGGGCACTGAAAAGGTGTGGGGCCTTTACTGTGGCATGATGTTCATCTCCTCTGGAAGTTCAGCCTTCAGCAGCTGCGTGGGGACTTGTGCCTCATCTGACAGTACTGTCTGCTAGGGCAAACCATGCTACATGGGCAGCAGCTTTGTGGCCTTCCCCCTTGGTTGAAAGCTAGGAGCCACCTTCGTGCTTTACAGCATGGCTGACAAGGGAAGTTATCCTATATATTTTACTAGTTTCCTTGTGCAGCCAGTTGTCTGTTGGGATTTTGTTTTTTGCTTATTGCAAGTTAGAGTTGAGCTTGTGTCTCTGAAAAAAAAATGTTTTGAATGCCTCATAGTAGTCAGAATATTTTTCAGTCTCATTCTTAACCATTTTTAAACTGTATTCCCTCACTGGTAAGCGTAAGTAATTTAAGATTTAAATTTTTTGTTCTTTTCCATATAAATGTCTCCCTTAAGATTAAGCTTGAATTAACTTCATGTTGTTGGCCATTACTTGCATTCATGGGTAAATTAAAGCGCCTGGTTCCCTGTCACTGATTTTTCAAATGTTAGTAATAAAAATTGCAGAAGCGTTTTTAATGCCAGAGATTTAACAGATGTTGGTGGACACATTAGCTTTAGACACAGATTTGGCAGGGAAAATTTGAACTAAGAATGGCTGATTCTGTATTCTTTAGGTTTAATTTTAGCTTTACTGGCCTTTCAGGTGTGCTTGAAAGCAAGATGGATTATGAAGATGTGTGCCACAACTTATTGGCATGTATCCCTGAAACAGGAACATGTGAGATGAGAAACTTCATATGGCAAGATGTGTGTAATGGCCAATATCAAAAGCTGTTCACCCATCCTTAATGACTATAACCTGAAACCTATTATGAAGTTCATTATAGGAGCTGAACTCTCTTCTTGCTATAAACTGACTATTTTGGTTTTTTTTTCTGTACTAACATTGAAGCTCGCTCCTTATCCTGATGAATGTCTACATGTGGTCCTGAAACTCGCTGTTGTCCTGCATGTCTCCTGTTTCTCTTATGTCGCTACCTTGAGAGTGATTTCTCATAATTACAGCACATTTTTGTGAGGACACATTGCCTCTTCTGTGCTGCCAGACCCAGTCCTCAGAGTCGCAGTAGCTGGAGGGCAGGCAGAGAGTATTTTGCAGCTGCTTTGTGAAAATCCCAGTGGCTGAGACCTTGGTGATGTTGGGACTCAGACAAATCCAGATGTTGAGAGTTCTTCCAGCACACATCCTGAGCTTCAAAATGTTCACAAATTGTTGTTAATAATAGGTGCAGCCTGTCTAAAGGTCATGCTTACACTGTACTACATTAATATCTACTCTAGCTGCAGTTCAGACTCCCTGGCACAAGCAAGTATAGAAGGAAAAAATTGCTGCAAGCCATTTTATACTCAACTAAATAAAGGCCAAGCCTCATCCTGGTATAAGAACAAAGCTGATTAAAAGCTGGTGTAATGTATTTGTAGCTGTTTGAGATATTGTTCACATACTGAAGTGTTGCCTGTTGCTATAACCCTCCTGTACCCATAGCCAGACAAGGACTAGTGAATTGCTGATCTGACACTGACATGTCGTGTGATGGTTTCTCCACCCTTGGGGAATTCTCCCTGAAGAGTTGAATCCTGTCTCAGAACTGTTTTGCGCTGTTGGAACAGTTTAAAGAAGCTGCCTGCTGTCAGTCAAGCCTGTTGTGTCGAACAGATGTTTGCACTCCTGTCTCAGAACTGCATGAATTCACATCTGAGCCTTAACCAGACAAAGCACATTTGAGTGGGGTCCTTTTCTCTGTGTTGTTTGCTTTTCCACCCGTTTTAGTCTGCCAGGTATGTGCCAATGCTGAGTGCTGTGTGCAGGGATATCCTCTAGTCAGCACTCAAGTCTCTGAGGGATCTTTCAGACAAATAGTATGCATGTCTTTTACCAGAAGCTTTCTAATCTGACATTATGAATAATACAGAGCATGTCAAGAATGTCTCTTTGTTCTAATGGAAGTGGCAGGTTCCTGTGGTGGAAGTTAGGAGTTTTTGGTCTTTGGAATGGGAGAGGTGCAACCTGCTTCATTACTGTGGGGAAGTAATTCTGCTTGGTGCATCTGTTTGTGCTCCTGATGTTTGCCTGTTTGTCTTCTTTCTTGGACTCCAAGGTGTTTGAAACAGTGACTTTTTCTTTTTTTCTCATTTATAGTAACCTGAGAGGTGAACCTGTTCTCCATCAGAGCCTGTGGAGTTTTCTGCACTACAATGAAAACAGTTGAAAAAGGTGTTGTAAGATATGCTATGCTGTAAAAACTATTTGCTTACATTTCTCTCAAATTTGTACATTGAATTGGTGATGAAAATGCAAGTCTGTGTTTTGATATCAGCTAAACCTAAGGAAACCCATTTTTTTCCCCATGAATTTCTATTTTTCCTTCTCGATATTCCTTACTGTGTCCTAAATATATTCCTGTACTTCTGCTTTTCATATAAATGTGTGGATTTCCCTTCATTTTCAGAACGTCACCTGAGAGATCTGTGACTTAGAGAAGCCCTGGGGGGACTTTTCTGTCTGTCTCCCAAGTTCAATTTTTTCAGTCAGAAAGTGAGGCAACTGTTCCAGCTGATCCCTGGGAAAGCGGAGAGGTTGGTGTGCCCAGGAGGGGTTAGCTGTATTTGACTGTGGGACCCAACCTCAAACTTCCTCAGCAACAGGAGAATTTTATTTTATGAGCTCTCTGATGTGGTCCTTTCATGCTTTCATACTGCATGCACATTGAATTTTCCTTTTGAACTGTACATTTAGCAGTTGGAAACAGCTTTCTTTCATTCCACCAACTCCAGAGATGGAATCCTTCTTCTCTCCCAGTTCTTGTCTTTACAGTAAATCCATGTATCTTTTGAAACCGAGCATTGTGCTTATGGCTTTACTTTTACGTGTTCAAGCAATTGTCTAGTTTAAAAATAAAATATCTCATTACATTTGTGAGAAAATTTGCTTTCTTAAACCATTTGAAGCTATTTTTATCAGGCCATTTCTCCAGCAGGTTTATGACCTCATCTTTTATTAAACTCCATCTGACCTCACTTGTTAACAAAGGTCAGACATATTCGTTTCCTAGCTTCTCTTTTACCAAGTGACACCCACACTGGTGGTGCTTTCCCATTCGGAGAGCTGCTTTTCTTCCAGCAGCACAACAGGTGAAAATCAGTCCAGCTCTGGAGATCCTTTTCTTACTGTTAGTATGTAGGCATGGTTTGCTCTCGGTGGTTTGCTGTGCCCTTTAGTTTCCCCCTTTCCCCTTCTTGAAGTGTGTAGCCTGTTCACCTGCTGCCAGACTCCAACTGTGCCAGTTAGAAAAGGGTCTGCCTGCCTCTTTATTTTACATGGAAGTTAATAGACGTTTCTTGGAAACCTACATGCCACTTCTTCAAATCAGCACTGAATCCACTCCTTGGGTGGTGGTGGTTTCCAGATGCTGATTACATCAAGTGGGAGCTGTTCAAAGTCCCCTTCTCTCATCACTGCCATGTTAGCAAGTTGGGGGCTGTCTGTTTTGGTAGCCTAGATGTTGAGGTTGACTGGTGAGTCAAGAAAAAAAAGAAGATTTGAACTTGGCTTTTTATTAGAACCTTACTTTCTTCAATAAGGTAGGGGTTGATCTATTTTTCTTGCTTGGTAAAAGAAGGTCTCTGAAGTGAGTGTGATATGTCTGTCTTAATCAGGGATATGGCTCAAGGATAAAAGGAGCATCTTCATACTTCACTACTCCTCTCATTTTAGGTGTGTCCATGTCTAATCAGCAATCTAAATATCTATTTGCTTCTCCAGCTTAATTTATGACAAGCTTGGAATGTAATTTCTTTCTTGTTGAGAATTTAGGATTTTGTTTAACTTTTTAGAATAAAACAGTACCTGCAACTGTGTATGAGTTGAAGTTCCCACAGCATTTCAGTTTCTTCTCCTGGAAGAAGATAGTCCTATTTTGGGAATCAGTCATCTGTCCACCCCTGTTGATACTGGGACATAATATTCATTTGACATCTCTACAAAGCCTGTCTGTTTGGTCAGGAGCATACACATACAGCTGCTCCTTTGGTTTCACCTGATCCCTGAGTCCATCCATCCTGAAAATATGTGTTAGTGTGTCACTGCTGAGGATGGCACTTTCCTTTTTCACAGTCTGTGCCTCCCCCTATTTATCACTCATATTGTCTTGGGTTAACTCTGTATCCTTACTATCACCTTTTCTGCCTTTTTCTATCTTTTTACTTGCTGGTTATGCCCTGTTTTGGCTAACCTTATTGCTTTTCCTGCCGCTGCTGTATTTATTGATGAATGGCTCATTTCACCCCAGGCCACATAATCAGTACTCCTTCTCTTTTTCCCCTTGCTGAGAACTTGAAAAATGTACTTGCAGAAATATTTGAGGATAGGACGTTTTGTGCACTTCAGGCCAAATTAGAGACACAAATCCCCTCATCTTTAATAAGGTGCACATCTAATGTTTCGCACAGCGCTTTGAAGATTTATGTCCCTGCCTCTGTTTCTCATTTAGGGCACAAATTACCTGTGATTGTGTTATGGTTACTGTTTCATCAGTGCTGTGTTTTTTATTTCATCCCACCTTTCTTTTTAACAACTCTCATCCTCTTTCTTGCAGGTAACCCAATTAGTGATTCTATTTCATGTCACTCAGTGGCAAAATCCTCGCTGCCTCCACTGGGCACAGGATCAGTCCTTACAGTTCTCTCTGATCTCCTTTTTCTCCCCACTTGGGATCGGAGGGCTGTGTGTGTTGTACAACACAAAGGGTGGGGTATGATTGTGTTTGCAGTTTCTGGAAATGCTGCCAAGGCAATTGTCACATGCTGTTACTAAATATTGCATTTCTGTGGGTTCAGAAAATCGGAACAGCCAACTTCCCCAAGCCTTCCAATATGAGTTAGCTATAGAAATCACATCAATGCCTCCTTTTAAGGCATAGTGTAAAAATATAATGAGAGCCAAAAGTAGTTCAAGTCTGCAAAGAGTTCCACAATGCATTTATCTCCTTCTTTGTGTTTTTCTTGTAGACAAATTGTAAAATTGCAATTGTTTCTTGTAGATTTCTTTTATTATTATTATTATATTTTATCAGATCTGTGTGGCTGTCTTCCTTGACTCTAGCTTTCAACCTCTTTAAATGGCTTCCCAGTTTCTGTGTATTCCACTTCTTAACTTCATAATCAGGTGAACAAAACTCTGTTGTATGTTAAGTTACGCTTTACATTTGTATATGGTGAGAGTCACTGTTTGCTCTGTGAATACTACACTGAGGAAATGCTTTAATTATTTTTATTAAAAAGCTAAGTGAAAAATTCCGTTTCAAGTTATGGTAGGCAATAATTAATATGTTAATATGTTGAATGAGGTTACTGGTACTTTATGGTGTTATTGAGTGAGCGAAGGGTGTCTGAAGTTTTAAAGCACAACAGTCTGCCTTTGGGTTTGTGCAGTTTTGGTAGCGTATTTGGGGTTACATAATACAGCTAACACAAAATACACTGGAACAAGTTGCCCAGAGAAGTTGTGGATGCCCCATCCCTGGAAATGTTCAAGGATAGGTGCGACAGGGCTTTGAACAACTTGGTGTAGCAGAAGGTGTTCCTGCTCATGGCGGGATGTTGGAACTAAATGGTATTTAAGGTCCCTTCCAATCCAAACCATTCTATGATTCTAGGAATATTATTTTAAAAAGCACTTGACATGCTGAAAAGGTTATTTTCCTTTGCTGCTCTTGAAGGCCCACAATGTAAAACAATTCTCATTCATTCTTTCCCCACCCCATTTTTATTTTTTTTAATTGTATTTTTTTTTTTTCAGTAATATTATGGGCTCTATTCCTGAGAACAAAGCAAAAAATGAAACTGTTCAGTAACAGGTGTAATGCAGATGGAACCTACTTTGGGAAAAGAAAAATGATCCTGTATTTCACAGTAAATATCTTGCTACTTTATGTGATTTCACTGTGCAGTCAGGAGCTACCTGTTCCTTGAGTAGCACATTGTAGTGACCAGGTTGTCACAATCTCTTACTCTCAGATTTTCTTTCCTGTTGCATTCATAAATGAGAACTCATGGAATTTGTATGGATGTAACATGCTTAGATCACAAGCTTTTATCATTGATATGTGTTTGAGTTGTAACAATAGTCCTTGTCATGTCCCTAGCATCTCAAAGACTAAATTATGGGATTGCTTGTGTGATTTGTCAATATATCAGACAACCTGATCTCAATTAAATTACCAGCTGTAGTACACACCATGTGTAATACACTGAGATGTCAAATCATAGCCAATATGCCTGTATTATTTTTAGATAGTCTATTTATTTAGGATTTTTCTGTTGTTGATTTCACGGCAGCTTTATAATTAAACCTGCCTCTGACATCGTGGGGAAAAGGAAAAGTGCTCTGTAGTTATGGCCAGTTAGATATACTGTCGTGTGTTAGGAAATGTTACTGCAGTGATAGCTGTGCTTCACATTGTTTCTGCCTGTCATTATTATGTACAGTGTCTAGGGATCCTTAATTCATGTACTGTTTGACCCAATTGAGTGGATTGCCTTATTCAGTTAATAGCATATATATTGTCATGGCCTATTTGTGAATTTTAATTTAAGGATTGTCAGTCTGATTGCCTTCAACAGTTGTGTCAAGTCCTGAAAGCTTTTGAGATTTTGCTGCTTTATTTATATGTCATGACCTAATTCTTTGTACACATTAAAAACTGAACAGCTGCATGAGCATAGTACAGCAGTGATACAGTATGTGCAGACATCTGTACTGTAGACTCACAAATATAAATGCTTAAAAATGAGTAATGGTGCTCGAAGGGTAATGCATGTAAAGATAAGCAATCGTGGGTGGGTAGGAAGCATTAGGATGAAAATTCCTACATGCAGAAAGGAGTCTAGGATTTTCAGAAGGGTCTAACCAGGTAAAGTGTCTAGCTTCTGTTGAAATCTATCAAAACCAGGGCCTAAACCATTGTGTACTTTGAAAATCCAGCCAGGTACTGATGTGTGGTTTTGGATATCTATACACTTTTGAAAGTAACTATGGTAGATGGGAAGCCTGTATTTAACTGGAAGTCAATGGGATTTAGCCATTAGTGATTGTTCACCATGGAGAATAGATGGTTGCATGGAGACTTCATAGCAACCTTGCAGCATCTAAAGGGGGCCTATAAGGGTGCTGGGCAGGGACTCTTCATTAGGGACTGTAGTGATAGGACACAGGGGGAATGGGTTCAAACCTGAACAAGAGAAGTTTAGGTTACATATAAGGAAGAAGTTCTTTCCTGTGAGGGTGGTGAGGCCTCTTTGGTTGCCTAAAGAAGTGTTAAATGCTCCATCCCTGGCAGTGTTCAAGGACAGGATGGACATAGCCTTGGGTGATATGGTCTTGTGTGAGGTGCCCCTGCCCATGGTGGGGAGGGGGTTAGAACTAGACGATCCTAAGGTCCTTTCCAACCCAAACCGTTCTATGATTCTATATGTATTAAAATCATTCTGAAGTACTAGGGCACTTCTCAGTAAACTGTTTTATATTTCGATGCTTAGGGGATTTTCTCTAGAACAAAAACCTGATGAAAGTTAATTGGAGTGACTCAAATATATAAAGTTTTAAGTTCTTCACAGAAGTGAGGCATTAATGCAAAACTATCAGACGTGCAAAGTTCTTAGAACATAAAAAACAGGTGTTTTTGCCTTTAATGATTAATCTGAATCCAAATTTTTTTTTTTTTTCAGGCTAAGCATAAATTTTCTGCTTTTTCAGTACCATGCCAAGTCTTTACTCTTTGAAGATGTCATTAAAACCACCTCAAAGTACCTTTGCCTCACACAACGTTATTTTTGGGAATTGTTTAAAGGTAAGCAGTAATATAACTTAGTGTTATAAGGTGAATAATTAAGAAATGAGAAGAAAGATGAATCAATGTGCTGTCCATTAAATTATTGTTCAATCTGATAATTGGTTTTTAGTTATATCTAGTTATATAACAATAATTCTCATGAAGCTGTGGCTTTTTAAACTGTCCCTTGTTTGACTCTAATTTGTTTGACACTATTCACTTGCATCTATGCTTTTCCAGCAGTTTTTTGCTAAACTTTAAATAAGCCTCTGACTTAGGCAACCAGTCACATTAACACAGAAGACAAGGTACTCCATTTTAAATGGAAGAATGGAGGACCAAGTTGAAGAAGGGCTGTTCCAAAGTTAGTGGTTGAATAGTGTGTCTAACTGCACTATTATTGTAGTTTCAGCAACACTTGAGGTGCGCAGAATTCTTTGGAATGTAGATCAGTTATGAGGTATGAAAGGGGATAACTACTCTTCTTGTTTTACTGTTGGGGGACCTGTCACATTAAATGTATGCGCTGACACCCCTATGCTCTGAATATTAAAGACCTCAAATATAGAAAAACAGAGACTCTATTTTGGGTCTCTTGTGCAAAAATTCCCTTTTTCTGTCACTCGTGTGTTTCATAGCATATATCAATTTGTGGAAAATCCTATAATGAAAGATAATATTCCTTAAGTCCTGTGCCAGGTAATTCCCAGCCAATATTTTATTGCGGTCACGCATTTGTTCCAAGAAACAAACTACTTTTAATGAGTGGGAAGGAGGAAAACTTCAGTCCTAATGCTATATGTTCCATCTATCGGAAGTATTTCTGATTCTCAGTTGTTGCTGGAATTCAAATTCTGACCAACTTTCACTTTAATTCATGTTACTTACGGAAAAATACTTTAGCAAGTATAAATTTTCTCCTAGACTTTTGTGCCGTCATAGGAATGACAGGAGTTTGTTGTATTTAAATGCAGTCACATATTAAACTCTTCTCTCTTAATTTCAGGAGACAGCTTTATAAAGTTTTGCTCTTATTATTTTATTTTTATACAAGTGATGACAATAGTGGATGCTGAGGTACTACGGCAGCAGGGAACACACAGGAATAGTCTTATTTATATTTCAAATGACTTTCAATTTTTTAACTTTTGTCATGTTTTTCCTTCAATTACAGGTCGATACACTGTCCTCTATCTCTTTGTAATTGTGCTGTGGAGGTGATTCTAAAATAGTATGACAAATCACAAATTACTGAGCTCAGTGTATGCCAAAATTTGTGTGTATCTAGTACCTGGGAAAGCACTGACAGATGAACTGTGTTCATGTTCTGCAGGTTTCTAAATATCAGAAATTAATTTGTTCTATACATCAGTAGGATAAAAGTCTTGGAAAAGTGTTTAAGTTGAAAGATGGGAGGATGCTTTTGGGTTACTTAGTGTCCTGTTGAGCAGGGTTCTTGCATGGCTTTGGAATCTCTTCCACGGTCAGATTAGGGACTTGGACTTCTGCTCTACAAGCAGGTGGCTTTAGCGTCCTGCATGTTTGCTGATGGGCTCTGAGCCTCTTTCTGTATTTCTGCAAGGATGTTCCACTCTGTAAATAGTCAGGAGTTTAGCCTTGGCTTCCACATCCAAGGTGACTGTGTTAGCTCCCTGGCTTATGGAGTTACACCTATTTTTCCATTACTGAATATTGGTTATTTGTGCAAAGGGGAACATTCCAGTAGAAAACATTGCGCAAATCTCAACCAAAAGAATATAAATCCAGAAAAGCAGGGACTTGAAGGGTGTCTTTTTTTTTCTGTTTAAACATAACCTCTACTGGACTTTGTGCTGAAACTAATATTGTCATGAAAATGTCTGAAGAATTTCCTTTCAGAATTGATAGACTACACAAAAAATTCTGTTCAACTTCACCTACTAGTCAGAAAAAAAGCAGTGTCAAATGATATGTAGAAAAAGAGCAGTGGTTTGTTGCTTGCATTTCGTACTTTCTTTAGGAGGTATTGCCCACAAAACACATCAGCAACTTTGAAAACCAATAGCCTCAAAAGGTTCATTGATTTGCCTGTAAAGGGGGACTGTAATCTTCAGAAGTCACTAGCCCTGGAAACGAAGACTTTAATTCTTATATTACTGGATATATTTCCCCATCTGTAAACTGCAGAAAATTATAATTTTCAGAATAAATTCACAATTTAAACCTGCAAATTATAGTGTTTCTACTGAAACAGTTAACTTGCCATTGAGAATTCTATTGTGTTTAAATGAATATAGTGATATCCATGAGCATTAAGCTAGTACTGCTCTGTTATAGAAAGCAGATGAATACAATCAGTCTACTCAGTGGGAAAGGCAAAGGATAAATGGTTTACTAGTTTAGGTGACTTTCAAGTGTTTTCACTAGTCTTTTTAAGTGTGTTCTCTCTCTCTGTATGTATGTATAAAATGTGATTTTTTTTCCTGTATGAGAGCTGTTTTTGATAAAGGCTGTTTTGCCACTAATCTCTTTTTTAATCATATTTGTTTTCTAGAATTTCCTAAAAATCAGCTGATTTTTAGATAGTTGCTGTTTCCAACCATATGGCAAAAACATGAAAAAGTGATCGACAGAAAGTGGAACACATCCCACTGGATTTTGTTGCATTGCTCAAAAAGCCTCATTGCAGTTTTGGCAACAGTACACTCTTGTGTAGTGGATGTGCAGCATAGCAAGAGAAAAAAACACTTACTAATACCTTTGTTTTCACAGAACCTTTTATGCATGATGCAGGAATGAGTGTGATGAATACTGTGGATAACAGAGGCATCATCGTTTGCCCAATGAAGCTTTTTATGTTGTACAATTTATAGTTCTGTTGATCCAGTTCATTGTGGCTTTTTTGTCTCACCAAACTAATGTTTGGGTTCAAATGTTCACTCTGATGTCAAGGTCTGATATTTTTACCTCTCCCTTTCTCTTAATTTTATTGATTTTTTTTTTTTTTTTTTTCTAAGCCAAGCATTCCCTAAATTAGTTATAGTAAGAAGGCTTATTGTGGAATGTGATATAATTGGCAACTGATTGTTGATGTAGGAGATTTACGTTGGCCTTATAGTAATAGTTTCTCATAATTGGAAACATATGATTTTTAGTGTCTAGACTTGGGAACTTTCCCAGGAAGGAGTTCCAGGTGGTTATCTAAGCATAATAGGCCAAATAGCTACCACTTAAAGTCTGCAGACATGGGAAATATGTAAATGTTGCTAGCAAATGTAATTATTTCATAAATCTAAGTTTATATATTGCAACATATCCATTTGCATCTAATGGTTTGACCAGCTGATTTGCTTTATAGATTCATGTTAAAACTTGAAATTTATTTACTTGTTTGCTCTCTCAACTGAAATAATGTAAAATACACAGATGAGAAGTTCTTGAAATGCCTGGATATCAAAAACTTTTAATTTCATCATGTACCTAATTTAGTTTCATTGATGTGTGAGTCCTTGGCTTGAAATAGCAAATAGTTGCGGTTTATTTATTGAATTAATTCTGTGAAACTTAGTATAGTTAAGTTACATGGCACCTTGATTTTTGTCTTCATGTGTTAGTGTGCTGATTTCTGAAAAGACCTCAGAAAGGAAACAAGTTTGGAAGTTGTACAGCCTACTAAAGCATGTCGTGATTTGATATTCTCCTGATCCCAGTTTGTCTTGAACATGCTCTGCGCGTTAAAAACATCCCTGGAGAAGGAAAGCACAGTTGGCTATCCCAGCATGAATACTCTACAAATATTGTTCTGGGACCTGCACAGCCTGTGACTCACAATGAGTATTTTCAGCTCTGGTTCTGACTATACAATAGGAAATACAAAAGAAAATAAGTAATTTGCTGGGGCCTAACGCAGTATGACTTGATCACTGTGGCTCGCACAGAGAACACAGCAGAGCTGCCGCAGGAGACGTGAAAAGTCCTCTCAGTTCACTTTTCATGTGCTAGATGGTTTTTTCTTGTTCTTGTTGCATTTTTTTTTAATCCTACCTGTTAAGATAGCAAAGAATGACATAAGTTATCTGGCTCAGCAGCCAAGTGTGTGGTCCAAATTATTTTCACAGAATGCCTGACAAAGTCTGCTTGCCTGCCTGCCTCAATCATTTTTCTGAACTAATTAGAAAAGTCTGCCAAGCATTGTTGGGCTAAGGCAATAATTATTCTCAAACAAATGCTTCAATTTTGCACAAGTTAGGAAGTGTCTCTGTTTTAAATGACTATATGCCAAGATGCCAGAGTAGTCAGACCAGTTTCGTTTATCAATATGTCTAGAAGCCCCAGAGGACTTAAAGAGAGAAAACCTGTGAAAGCAAATGACATGCTTTTACATGGTGCTCTTTTAGGAAATAATGCTGTAGTACATCTTTTAGTATATGCTAGTTTTTAATGAGAAGTAGCAGGTCTATTTTCCTTTTGGAAATGTTTGGTTTTTTTTTTTCCTTATGATATTCCTGAGTGTGTTGATCCTCAGATTCTCTTGGTTTTGGCACCGAATTAAAGGAAGGTTTGTTATTAGTCATGCAAGACTGGCCTATCTAATCCTTTCTCACGTTTTATAGTCTGCTCATCATCACCCTGTTTCAGCATTGAAGAAGGCAATCTCTGATTGCAACTATGTTGGAAACTCTTTCCTTGTAAAATTTACTTAAACTTGGCAATTGGAAGAAACTTGAACAGTTTAAAGGAAGTTTACAGCTTGTTTTCCAAGCAATGGTGCTGTACCTGGACCTAAACACCATGTTTCCCTGCTCGGAGTCAGCTTCCAGAATAGTCTCATCTCACCTCTGATCCTGAAATGTCTAAGTCACACTGATTTACTTGAGACAGAGTTCACAGTCTGATTGCTTTGGCGTGTCACTAGTGAGATTTGTGCCTCTGATCAGCTATGTCTTTGCTGGTGTGTTACACTTTTGCCCTGTGTCTCTGCCACTGTTTGCCTTCATTCCAAAAGTTTCTCTGTAAGAAGCAGACAGATTGCCATGTTC